TAGTCAAAGGGTATTAGTCAAGAGTAAGAGACAAAAATCTTAAAACAATGCATTTAAAAAGTGAGTTCGCCGATTTTCTCATAAATCAAGCATACCTATTTCCAATCTTAATCCATCAATTTTGGTTAGTAAATAGTTGTCGATTAAAAAGTTTAAAACAAATGAATCAATTGCTTGAATCTTAGCTTTAACTTTCTTTTTAGCATCAAATTTAGCTCCGTAACCCACTCTTCATTAATTTTAGCAACCACATCTTTAACAGGTTAATGGATCCAACCAATTTCCTTAATCTTACATTTATCGATGTCATATAGTTGAATACCAAGCCACTTTAAATCAAGTATCGTTGACCTTAAATTATGGTATGCCATACCAATAGAAAATACTGTAAACACCTTTTTATCAACTAGTTTTCTGCTCTTATTATTCTTCCGCATAACATAATAATAATGTCTTATGGGCGGGTATAAACCTTCATCATCTATTGAATCCTCGCCACATATTAAATTCTTAATGATAGCAAAAATGTGAAAAGTTACTATAAATTTGATCCTGGATGCTTTGTGTTCAATTGAACTTTTGAATGTCCATTTTCAAAGGCCTCTACAAACGAATGGTGCCTTAGAGGGCAAATTCGAGGATTACAAATTCAGATTGTCTTTGAGGAGTCTAAAAAGGCATATTCGATGACGGTTTTTTGAAAAAACATCGTCTTATATGTAACTTTTAACGACAGTTTTTTCAAAACTATAGTCTAATATGCAATTTTTAAGGACGCTTTTTGCAGAAAAAAAAAAATCATTGTTAAGAGTATTAAAAAAATTTTAAAAGGATATTTTCATACAACAATTTCTTCGAATATTATTCATAAATCATTAAACAATACATATAAAAAAATTACAAAAACATGTTACAAATTCTCCTTCTCATACGTAATCAATATACTTTTAACACATATTTCAAAACCCATAAAAAACGTCTCTCTAAGAAATCTAACAACAAAAATAATTAATACAAAGAAAACACTAAATTCAAACAAAAAAACCTAATCTTGGAGGGGGAAAATTCTCTAAGGATTAAAAAGTACCGATTTTAGTGGTCATGGTGTAGTGGCAAATATGTTGGTAATGGTGTAGTGGCGAATATGTTGGCGAGGTCACAGCGGCTGACGATATATGAGCATGGTTGCGTGAGGCTCTTGTAGGGGGCGACTGAGTTAAGAGAGTGAGGAGTGTATATTAGCGGGAGTGAGAAGTGTAGGAAAGATGAGATTTTGGAGAACAATTTTAGAGGGTGAGTTAGAGAGAAAGACGTTAGAGCGTGAGGAGATAGAGAGGGAGAAAATTTTTAAGAGATGGAGGGAGTAGAGAGAAAATTTTAGAGTCTGTAAGAGAGTGCTTGAAGTTATAGAAGGGATATCAAAACTTTGAATTTTAAAAAAAAAAATAAGCAAAAAAAGTCCTTTTTTTTTAATTTCTTGACATTAGATGACCGTTTTTTGAAAACCATCGTCAATATACTTCATTAGATGACGGTTTTTAAAAAAAACCATCATCTAATATACAACATTAGACAACGGTTTTGAGAAAATCGTAGTCTAATGTATGCGTACAAATTTTTGAAGTATGAAAGTTTCCGTGCTCGTTTTTTTATCATATTAAATGATAATTTTCTAAAAAGATATCGTTAAATAGGTGTCGTCTAATCTCTTCTTTATTGTAAAATATTTAGTTCCTAACAAATTGTTCTACCCAAAGTGAAAACAAAAAGTTAGTATTTTGGTATAGTTTACACTTGCAATGAATTATGAGTAACATAAGCTTAATTACTTGTTTACTAAATTTTAAAGAGAAAATCAAAGAATCTGCCCCGCTCAACTAATTTCTTTAGTTTTGTGCTCTTTTTCTAGAATTATTTTTTATTAAGTTGATATAACAAAGAAACTGATAACAAAAATCATTGTTTTCTATTTAAGAAAAAAATAAATCTTTATACTCACGCTAGGCCATTAGTCTAAAAAAATTCCAATTTTAGGACTTGAAAAAAAAAAAAAAAAAAAAAAAAAGAGCGATGTGATAGCAGAGATCAGTAGTCCCTTCGGCTTTTATGATTGGGTAGGCAGAAGCAACGATTGGTTTAAGGTCTTCGGAATGAATGGGACAAGAAATCCAACAAAAAAAGTTTCTACCAAAAAAGCGCTCTGCCAATTTGGGCTTGTCCACAATTCCAATCTTAGACGTTGCCATGGTTTTCTTTTTTTTTTTTAGAGTTTCTCATGTGAGACATAAAAAATGAGCTATCAATTTCTACTCAAAAATTTTATAAAAACTGTCTATTTTTTTAATTTGTTATAATTTTCGTTAGATCGAACGGCTAGAAACTGACCATATCCATAAAGAAAGCCTATAGAAGGAAAGTCCCTAAACTTTTTTGTAGCACCTAATAAACAATATGCTTCTAATGTTTTTCTTATCAATGTCACATCAACTTATTTTAGTATTCAATAATTATCACAAGTTATTTTAGTATGCAAAGGTGATCTGGTAATTAGAATAATTATTTATTGTAATTATTAAAGTGACAATATAAAAAGAAATAATCAAAATAAGTAATAAGTGTTATTTATGAAATATATTTTTACTAGTGCTGTGAAAAAAAAAATACAAAACCTTAAAGTAATTTCAACCCACAGTCTAAATTGTTTCACAAAATGAAAAGGAATTTGATGCATGAGACCTTGATTTGTTGATGTCATATGGCACAAGACGTGGTGCATATTGTTTGTTAGGTGAAATTTTTTGGCACAAATAGATTCCAACTTTCTTTTTTCACAACCAATGAGCGTTTAGAATCAGAATGTTGAGCAATATTGCATTGGTTTTTCTTTTTTCTTTTATTTTTTTTTTTCACTATGTTGCTGCCATCATGAAGCAAATAAACAAGCTTAAATTATTAGATATATACATATACATATAAATACATATATGTATCTATATATATATATATATATAGTTGATGCTGGCTTTCATGTCACCACCACAATCCCATCACCATCCATTGTCTCTCTCTTTAGCGTGTCATATCAAACACTTCGTTGTCATTCTCCAATTATAACAATAATAATGGACCGTCTCTAGCTGTTGGGTTTAATGAAAATTTTGTTCCGTTTATTTTCTCAATTTAAATTTTTAATTTTAATTTTATTATCGTTAAAAATTCTCATAAAAAGTTATATTTAATTTTTTTTATTACGGTAAAAAAATTTTACATAAAATCATATCTCAATTTAAATTAAAAATTTGAATAAATAAACTAAACGAGGCATTAATATACATGATGTAGACATATTTATCTATATTGCTTGCATACCTAATATCCACTTCTCGACGAAATATGGCTTAACTCGTCATCAAAATTGACAATAACGAGGTGAAGATTTCCTGCTTAAAAAAAATGTTTGATGATAGTGATTATGTATGGTTTCGTATAACAATTTTGTATGACACTTTTTTAATGAATGGATGTAGATGTATAAGGGTGTAGGATGTAACATTAGCTACTTAAACTTAATATCAGAATAATGCTGATTAATTATTAATTACTTGCTTACTAACAGCTTGTGGTACAAAATATAGTTTAACAATATTAGTTAGTAGTAAAAATAAAAAAAGAGACGCGTATATAATTGATAACTGTTCTCTCACTACTTTATATTATAAATTAACATGGTAAGTTGCCACTTATAGGCTATTAGAATTTGAAGTTTAATGATTTTGTTTTTTATTAGTAAAATTATCATTATTTTTGTCACTCTTTTTGTCATTTTTTATGATAAAGTGAGGTCCTCATATCAAATAATGAATACAGAAAGTGAAAAGAATAGTGATAAAATAAGTGATGTTAACATTTTTCTATATTATATGCACATTATTATTATTACACATGAAAGGGAGCTTATCTGCAACTCCAATCTCATTAATAAGAAAATATTGTTCAGTTAAGGTTGATGATGGTGTCCCATCATATCTTTTGCAATCTATTCTATATAGTTAAACAAATATTGTCCAATTAAAAAGCGTTGATCACATTGGAAATGGAATCAATTAATCATATATATAATGCACCACTTAATATAGATATATATATATATATATTAATTCGGATGCCCCATTTGTTTGGTCGCTATCGCTTCTTCTTTTGAAATATCATTGTACTAATTAATTATACCACGAGTTTCACCTGCCAATGAACACTACTGAAGTTTCATCCTGTTCAAATCGCAATTTTACTTAAACACCCTCCAGTACGAATCTCGCTCTCTCCTTGATCTTTTCCATTGTTTTTTACCCTGACAAATACTTTGATAAGTTTTTCATTTTGTCTTTTTTCTTCCTCTTAATAATTTTTAGATTGTGCTTGACGTTACCTGTACTTGTTTTACACTATTGTCTTTATTTTATTATTATTATTATTATTATTATTATTATTATTATTATTATTGTTATTATTGACGTTTTAACATCAAGCTGCCCCAATCTTCTTCATCAAACGGAAAAAAAAAAAAAAAAAAAGCTTTAAAACATTATTGGAGCTTCGTGCAATGCATGGCCACGTAAAACGCAAAATATATGCAAACTACGCAAAAATACCGAATTCCCACGCTAAAAAGAAAAGCATCCGATTTTCCCCAGTTCACGAACGAGGGGCTTTTCCGTCAATCCACGCCTCCCCCCAAACGGCGTGGGCTTTTATGGGCCTGCCGTGTGGGCCACCATTCACAATTCAATCGGACAAAGCAAACAACAAGAATCGCAAGTGAACGCTTGAAGTGAGTCAGCATCCTCTATCCGACATGTGACGTATTTATCCATCTTTACACACAAACACGTCGGTCTAAATCGCCTCTATAAATACTCCTCTTCTCTTCCTTCTCAAACGACTTGCTCTTTTGCATTCTCTTCTTCATCACCCAAAAAAAAAAAAAAAAGGCTCCATTTTCAGTTTTTTTTTAGCTCTCTTTTGCTTCTTTCTGCATTTTATAATTTCTCTGCTTTTTCTCTCGATTTCTTTGCCATGGAGTTTTTGATCAGTTCCTCTTCTTTCGATTCCATTCTCTTCGGTAATTCCATTCTCTCTTTTTTAATTTTTTTCCTTTCTTGAAGAATTTTTTTCGAGTAATGTTTTAATTTAATTTAATTTTGTTATGTTTGGAGTAGATTTGGATGATACTTTGTACCCTGCCAACACTGGAATAGCTTCAGCTTGCAAGAAAAACATTGAAGGTATAATACAATTATAAAAAATAAAAAAAATAAAAAAAATAAAAAAAAATTTTAAAAATCTCCACTTTTTGTTCCGTAAAAGTATTTAATTGAATAATTTTTTTTTTTTTTTGAAAAATTAATTTTGCAGATTTTCTTGTTGAGAAATGTGGATTTCCAGAGAGCCAAGCCTCGACTCTTAGAGTCGAGCTTTTCAAAACATACGGCAGCACTCTCGCTGGCTTAAGAGTAATTCATCTTCTTCATAGAGAAACAAATTTCCAAAATAAATAAAACAAAAACCTTTAATTTTTTTTTTCTCTTTTTCTCATTTCAATTTTTTTTTTTTTTTTTTTTTTTTTTTTGTGTGTGTGCAGATATTAGGCTATGATATTGACGCCGATGATTATCACAGGTGAATTAATTAGCTTAATCTGATTCAAATTAGTATTAATTAATATCCTTTTTCCCTTTGATTAATTTCGCTGAAAGTTGTGTGTTTTTCCTTTTTCCACGATTATCAGTTTCGTACACGGAAGATTGCCGTACGAGCTAATCAAACCCGATCCTCAACTCCGAGCCTTGCTCCGAAGCATTTCGCAGAGGAAAATCGTAAGCTAATTAATTAATTAATCAATCCAAACAAAAAAAATTTAAAACGACAAAAAATCCAAAACTAAATTTAATTATTTTCAGATTTTCACGAACTCGGATCGGAATCACGCGATCAAGGCATTGGAACGGCTGGGATTATCCGAGTGCTTTGATCAGATCATATGCTTCGAGACGATGAATCCGAACCTGGCCAAAGCCAGTAAGCCTGACGAAATCCCTGTCGTTTTGAAGCCTTCCATGGACGCCTTCAAAATTGCTTTGGCTGTTGCTCGCGTTGATCCTCGTCGTACAGTAAGTTGTTTTGTCGTTTCGTTGTTTTATATTGATTTTTGAGATGGCGGCGCGACGGCGCTGACGAATTCAACGACGCCGTTTTGTGTTTACTTTTTTGCAGCTGTTTCTTGATGACAATGTCAAAAATATTGCCGCTGGCAAGGCCGTCGGTCTTTGGACAGCTTTGGTAATTTTTTTTTTCTTTTTATCGACCCATTAATTTATTAATTTAAATTTAAATATAATTTTATGTGAAAATTTTTTATTATAATATAAAAATTGAATGTAATTATTTTTTAAAATTTTTTACTTAAGAACGAGGGGCCATAATATATTGACTTTTCAAATATTACAATTCGTAGGATCTTTTCTGGTCCGAAATCATTCCACGTAATACAATGTGGGATTTTTTTTAATAGTAGGACCCACATCGCCTGCTTTTATTATTGTAATATTATTGCTCCACCTGTGAATTTTCTGCTCTTCTTTTCTTTGTTTTTTGCATTATGTTATGTTGGTTACATTTTTTGTCAAATTTCATCATATTTATATGTTAAATTAATTATCAATTTATTTCGAAAAAATACATGATACCAAAAAGAAACTTTACATAGAAGTTCCTTTTTTGTTTGTTGAAGAACCAACTCTAATGTATAAGGTTTTTAGGAGTAGATAATATGAAAGCATCTTTTATTTTTGATAAAATCACATCAAAATAAAAAACGTGAAACAAACATTATATATCTATACTCTACCGTTGGATTCTTAGTAAAATGCAATTCGTTATCGAATGATGGTTTTATTTTTATTTTTAAATACTTTATTCTAATAAAGTGAATTTTCTATTTTTGTGGGTGAAGGTTGGGAAAACCGTGAAAACCAAGGAAGCAGATTATGTATTAGAGACGGTCAACAATCTGGAACAAGTGATACCCGAGATATGGATCAGCAAAGCTGACGGTGGAGATCAAAGGATCAGCCGCAGCAAGAGCGAGATTAATGATTCCATTCTTGCAACCACAGCCGTCGGAGCTTGACTGATGATCTTAAATTAGTGTTTGATCTCAACATGTACATGCTACGCCCATAATGTTGTCCATATTGTATAATGTCCGTATGCGTCAGATATTATGTGTATGAAAAAGATGGATTGTGCATATCCCAAAATGACAATTGTATCTATCTTTGTAAATCTGGTATGTACATCAATAATGTCGAATAAATTATGCTAAATGGTTTACATAAATAATGCACTTTGGGCCATTCGAGAACCTTCGCGTGGGGTCATGTGTAGATGCATTTCCTCTTAGGTCATGTTTGATAACTTGTATTATATTATATTGTATAAGATATATTGTATTGTATTGTATATCATAATATAATACGTTGTTTGGTGTCGTGATGTATTGTATAAGAGAGTAAAATGTAAAATTTTAGTAATTTTTGATGCAAAATGCAATTTAAAAAAATATTGAGGTAAAAATATAATTTTTTAAAAGTTTGGGGTCAATATGAAATTTTATAAAAGTTTTAGGGTTAAATTGTAATTTTGTAAAAGTTTTGGGATCAAAATGTAGTTTTTAATAAACATAAAATTTGCATTGTGCCTCGTAAATTTTTTAACAATTATAGGCTCCGACATGACCCTGACTCGACCTCTAGTCGTGCCAAACCCTGACATGAATTATTAATCCACTATAAAATAATGCAATACAATACGCTAAAAATGAGCCGTATTCAATAATACGATATTTGCCGTATTAATTTACCATTTGTATTAATTTATACAATACGATGGTCACACAAAATATTGTATTATTATATTATTATATAATACGGTATTTTAATACGGTCAAACAAATATACCCTTAGTGTTATCTTTTGGCTCACATAGTTGCATGTTTGGTAAGCTAAGAGTGAAGGAAAATAGGAAGAAAAGTGATGTGTATAATTTAGGCGACAAAAATATAAGAAAAGAGAATTTTTTTTCTTAGTGCCCGTTTGTTATGTTGGCTCAAACTGTGTTAATTTAAATTTTTTTAATTTGAATAAAAAAATTTGAACAGTGCAATTTAAACAGTAGTTTAAACTAGCGTTTGGACATGCAACTTAACTTTTAATCCGAACAGAAAATATAATCATAATTAATGTTTAGATGAGGTCTTAAAATTGTAGTTTAAACTGAACTGGTGTTTGGATGTGTAAGAGTATCTAATTTCAATTGAGTTTTTTTTTCCTATATGAAAAATTCATTTTTTTTGAAGTTGATAATATAAATAAAAAAATTTTACATTGAAGAAAAACTAAAACCTGTACAAAAATATAATAAAAAACGAGTATTTAAAAAAAAATTTATGCAATATCTATTATTCATGTGCAATTGAAGTTATTATTTCAGTTTAACAAGTTGAAATAATTTTTGATTCAGTAAAATACTTGAGCAAATTTTCATTCAAAGAGGTTAATATAAATAAAAAAAAGAAAATTTTCATTCAGATTAACAATAAGAATTAATAAACAAAAAAAGAAGACTCTATTTATACGATTCGAATCAGATTAATAACATGTAATTGAATGGAAACAAACCATTAGACACAATAAAAGAATAAAATAAAATAAAATAATAAAAAAACACAAGCCATTGAGTGTTTTTTTTTTTTCAGTAAAAAGAGGCTCAGTAATCTAGTGGCCATCATCATATCAATATTTAGAGCATCATACGTTATCAAAGCACTTAAGCTACCAACGCTTACTTCAACCTGATGGAAAAACAGAGGTTCTAAAAAGAGGAATGGTTTGAAAAGTAGAACTGATGGGGATGGGGGCTTAGGGTGTGTTTGGAATTACTTTTGAAACTCTTGAAAGTACTTTGCATAATAAATAATGTAATTATAGTGTTTGATAAAGATGCACAAAAGCACTTTGTACATAAATTAATGTACTTTTTAAGTTATTTTGATAAGTTAAAATGTGTAACTTTTAAATTCTACTTCTACTTTTGCTTTTACTTTAAGTAAAAGCAGTGCATCTATCTTAAGCACAACAATTATTTTAAAAGCACAGCAACCTTAAACTGGCCCTTAAACTATTTTTTGTATTGTTTTGCTCAAATTAAACTGGGCATTTAATTCAAATTAATGCTCTATTTTTTGTATTGTTTTGCTCAAATTAAACTGGACATTTAATTCAAATTAATGCTCTTACTAAACACGTTTTTGGGACTTTGGAGCAGCTTAAATGGACTCAGCTGGACTAAACTACTGAACCAACACATCATTATTGTGTTTAAGTATGGATACTTGTAACTAATTTTTGTTGAGAGAGATTAAAATTGGACTTCTTAAAAAAAAACAAAAAAAACAAAAACAAGCTTTCGAAGTACTATGTATTATGAATTTTTTTTTTGGTGGAGATAAATTGTAAATTAATTGGCTTTTTTTTAATTATATATAAACTATGAATTAAGTGGCTTGTATAATGGATACACCTGCCCCAAAACAGGGTATCAAATGGACCGACAATGCCAGCAACTTTCAAGTCTAAAGTTTAAAAAATTGACTTGGCCATACTTCTCGGTGTCATGACAGAATAATAACACAAAACAATGTTCCGTGTTGTATATATGCTTTGATATGATGTTTTTGTTAGTTCCTTCAATTTTAAAAGCAATCTTATTTTTTATATGATTCACTTCTAAAAAAGTATTAAGGTCTTTGGCTGTCCCAATTAGTCACTTGTGCGTAATGGACTGCCTCTTGTATGCTCATATGCGTTAATATTTTCTTCTTTTAATAATTTATTATATGATTTCCTTTGGTAGAGTCTATAGATAATTGATATTATTAATGTTAAATATTAATGAAGGAAGTGGTGGGACTTGGGAGGAAAAATAGTTTTTCAATATATTTTTTTGATAGCATAATAATTGTTAAGGTTTCATAAGGCAAGCAAAAACTGGATTTTATCACCATGAAAATGAGATTAATATTTTTTAACGTCTCAATTAATAGTGTTTAACCAATCATTCTATGTCATATCATTTAATAGACTCGAATATTAAAACATGTAAAAGTCATAAAGTATTTTAATTTTTTATATAACATGTCGTAATATGATTGTTTAAACACTATTTCTAATGCTGAAAATCAAACATGTGATGTGAAGTCATAAAAATATAATTAATGAATTGAACTAAAAGAAATAGTTTGAAAGAAATTAAATACAAATAAAAAAAAAAAAAAAAAAAAAAAAACAAACAAACAAACACCGTAGCATAACCGTTTAAATCGAAATTTGAACAACATCAGTCACAAACTTTGAAGTCCCCGGAGAAGCTTGTACGTTTGATCTTTCCCCTTGTTATCGACTACAAAAGAGAATAATTATGTTCCTATTCTACTTTAACAAATAACAAGAGAGAGATACACCTCCGCTTTTGTCCTTCGTAAGTTTTCTTATTATAAAAAAAATTTAAATATAAGACTTATCTTAGTTTTAGTCTACTCACCATAATGAATAATTGGGAAGAATCGTTGATCACCGTATGGGCAAAGGATGGGTTAGAGCTGTAAACCATCAATATCTAAGTCACTAAGGCCCGTTTGTTTTATGCGTTTAAACTTATAATTTTACTTCTGTTATAGTGTTTTTCTCTCACAAAAAATTTGAATTTCAAATGCTAAAATTAAAAATTACTGGCTTGAACGCATGAACTAAACGGATCCCAAGTCACTAAAGTTGTAGTGCTCGATCTTACCTGGATTAGATTGGCCTCGTAATGTTAATGCAAGCAATGTTATTCTTCATGGTGAAATGTAAATGTTATCCTTAATAGAATGTAGTACACATTCTTAATTGTACCATATATATATATATATATATATAATCTCTTGTGAATAAAGAGCAGCAGAACATGTCCCCTTTACCTAACCATAAATTATGATCTCCTAATACCAAAAATAATTTTCTACTTGTGTGTGTGTTTTTTTTTTTTTTTTTTTTTTTTTTTTTTTTTTTTATAAAATTTTTTTTTTTTGGCATAAACTTTTGACACCCTTTTTGTATCTCCTAACTCGGGAATATTGCAACAAGTTTTCTTATTTACATGAATTCAAAAAGTAAAAAGGCGAAACCCAAATATATGGATAGCGCAACATACATGTTATTTGATGGCATATGTTCTATGTATCTGCCCTTTTCTTTCCAAATTGGTATGATTTGAGAAACTTTTGACACCCTTTTTGTATCTCCTAACTCGGGAATATTGCAACAAGTTTTCTTATTTACATGAATTCAAAAAGTAAAAAGGCGAAACCCAAATATATGGATAGCGCAACAATTCCACTCGTTTAATCCGTTATGATGTAATTAATGAAATGCCAAAGAATGGCAATCCTCTAATTGTTATTACAAGCACACTTCAAGTGCACAAACCCAATTTCCTACTGTTTTCCCATGTTAATTTCCAAATTTGATCACCAGAAAATTCCCGCTTAAAAAACACATACACATCTCAAAGCAGAGAATGTTAGTACTAAATCCTATTTATAAGCACACGTAAGTGCCCAAACCAATTTCCTACTATTTTCATGTTACCTAAAATAATATACACACATACATTAATATTTCTGATAGGATCATAATTAAATTTGTTGCCTTAAGTTCATAATTTTGGACTTTAAAAAAAAAAAAAAAAAAAAAAAAAAAAAAAAAAAACATATTACACAAAGAAACAACATATACACGGATGCATCATGTTTTCAGATATGCAAAAGAGAAATTACAAGCAAAAGGGTAAAACAATTTTAAAATTTTAACGTAGTCCATGAAGATGGTCATGATCATATAAATACATTACAACCACAAAATTAACAAGAGCCCTGATCAAACATTATATTATATTCTTACAAATCATAAGGTTGCTTCCCAGTGAACTTGACCTCAATGGGGCTAACATTCTTCCCAATGGACCTAAAGTTCTGCCCAACCCCTTGGCGCCCAGGGTTGACCTTCTCAGGATAAACACCATCCTTGGGGTGCAAGTATTGAACCTCACCATTAGGGAAAACCCTGTAGAACTGGTACTTGATCTTGTACTTTGACCTAAGCCTGGTCCCGAGCGCCAAGCACTGCTCCTTCCTGGCCAGCTTCAGCAGGTTCGGGCCCTGCCGCATGATGGCGGCGCCGCCCGTCACCATCTCGAAGATCTGCTCCTTCGGGGAGTCCCATGTTATGACGTAGAACTCCTCCACCTGCGCCTTCCTCAGCAGCCCGCCCGTGCTGCCCCCGAAGATCGGGGAGGGCGTGTTGGGGTCGAGCTCCGGCGGGGTGAACCCGACGGGGGCCTCCTTCGTAGGGGCCTTAGTCGCCTCCTCTGCGGCGGCGCGGACGATGGTGCTGCTGCCGCTGCTTGGTCGGGAGAGCTTGAAGGGTTTTGGGGTGGTGAAGGAGGAGGTGAGGGATTGTTTCCATGTGACAGCAACGCCGCGGTCGCCGGCTTTCGGGGCGGAGAGGGTCGGGGTGAAGAGAGTGGTGGTGGCTTGAGTCGCCATGGCCATGGAAAACTGGGTTTTGGAGATTGGGGTGTGGGAAGAGAATTTCTTGTGTTGTGGCGGTGGTTGTTGAGTTTTGAAGGCTTATTTTTGTTTGGGAGTTTTAGGGGATTTGGGGATGTGGTGTGGATAAGGTGATATTGCTTGGACCAATTAGAATTTGTGATTTTGATACGTTCTCTTACCCATACCTCATGTGCTGCTTCTGCATATCTCTTTTCTGGTCAACCGTCGACGTGTAAACTCTATTTTAGATTAGTTAAAGGACCCATTTCTTTTCCCATTAAAAAAAAAAAAAAAAAAATGGAAAGAGAGAGAGAGCTAGAGATTCATTTCTTTTACAAAGGGAAAAATATCCGTTTAATCGACTCATTTATTTGTTTTTTTTATTTTTTTTCTCAAGTTTTTTATGAGATGGAAATTCCATTTAGCATTTACAAAGATTATTGGGATAATTATAGATGTTTGCCAAATTATCATTTTGCTAAGCTACATTTTAAATATCATATAAAAGAGTCTATCGTCTATTAAATTGTTTTAATTTAGTCATTTTATCCGTCTGATAATTAAAATCTCGACAGGAAAAATACTCGACCCCTTTTTAAAAAGTCAATTCTCAAATATGTAAAATTGCAAAATTAACTGTCATTAAACCTCACATTGTCCTCACGTGTATTTATTTGTCAAAATTTTAACTGTCAGACATATGAAAGGACTAACTTGATACAATTTGATAGATTTGGAAGTAGTTTTGAAACGTTTAAAAAGTCTGGACCCTAATAAGATTTGGCGTATAATTAGGGACTAAAAAGGAGATTAATCCAAACTATAAGCAATCTTGAAAATGACATGTCATATGGTATTTATCTTTGCAGCGTCCTTCTTCTTCCTATAATATAATTATAGGGTTAATCTTGATTTCTGAGGTTTAATTTCAATCTCACTTTAATTCTTGATTTTTCAAGCTTCATACAGTTGGTCCCTAAAGTTTTTTTTTTGTTTCAATTTATTTTATAGGAAATTTAGTTCATGACTTTTCAAATATTGTATCAAAATTGAAGTAAAATAAAACCTCAAAAATCATCTGTACGACGTTTAAAAAGTTAATAATTAAAATAAAATTTAGTGTAAACTTGAGAAACCATTTATGAAATTAACTCTATAATATATACTAGTAAGCTTTACAACAAATCATCGAAACAACATGTTTTTCCTCGACACAAAGTATGTTTCGCTTCACTGTCATTTATCACTTACTTCGTACAAACAAGTCATTTGGTAGTTTACTCGAAAAGCAATCGTCGAAACGACATGTTTTTCCTTAGTAAAAAATACGTTTCGTTTCAATGTCGTTTATCGCTTCTTCACATAAACAACAAGAAGGTTGGTAGTTTTACTCAAAATAAAACGACGTGTCATATCAAGCTTATAAGTAATCGTGTTTTGTTTAAAGTTCCATATCATTTTATTTTACAATTTCAACATTCAAATTCGTTAGGACTTGTTGGTTCAACGACTAAAACGGTAGAGATTTGAATCTTTTTAGTTAGAATTATATAATTTAAACTGTAGTGATTTAAATTATTATTTTGGTATATGTAAATAAATTATAATTTAAATTGTGAATAAAATCTGAACTGTATTTGAATAAAGTGTTGAAAACTGTAGTTAAAGTTTTGTAACAAATCTTATAAAATCTTATTATAAATGACATTAAAAATATGCAACATGAGTGGAGATTTGTTCCTCTCTTCATTATGAACACATTAAAAAAAATCATCTTAATCAGAATTAAAATAAAAAAATTATGATATTTTTAAGATTGAAATTGAAGAAGGAAAAAAAATAAAATATGAAATTATTGGACTGTTGACAACAATTCAGATTGTTAAAATTTAAAAAAGAGGTAAATTTTAAAATTAACAATTTGAGTTGTTCTTAAATTATTATTAATAAATTGAATTGTCCTTATATTTTACTCTCTCAAACACCAATTTAAATCATGAATTAAATAACAGTGTGAGTTGTTGAAACAAAAAGAGCCCGAACATTCATAGCAATCCCGACATTGGAGTCTGTAATTCTCTCCGGGCTTACTAAAATTTCACCGGAACAGAGAACATTATTATGTCTTCATATTGCCCCGAAAAAAAAAAAATTATTTTTTTTTTAAATTTGAAAAAAAAAAAAAAAAAAAAAAAAAAAAAAAAACGTCATTTGTCATCAATACTACTACACGAACTCTTCAGTAATCAGTACTCACAAACTGAAAATCTGTAAAAAAACACTGAAAATCTGACACACAAATACAACATACATTCTGAGCTCACATAACCAAGAATAAGTTATAAGAAAGTAAAACACACAATTCTTCTTCTGTTCATACAACTCTCCAACATAAACTATACATTAAAAATATTAAAAAACACTGTTCATATGGAGATACTATTGGGAATACCCTTCCCAGTAAGCCCACCCTCCCTCGTAAAGTCCGAGGTACCAGGAAACAACAGAGTGTACGGAACCTTCACCGGTCCCACTCTGTTCCTCAACCTCTCATCCCTATTCCTCTCCAAAATCCTCTCCTCAATCTCCACCAACCTTTTGCCAAACCTCTCAAACGCTTCAATGGCTTCCCCATCGTCGGTCCACTCCGGCGTGTCCCGTTGGCCAAGATAGACCTCGTCCGTCGAATGCCTCGACAGGATCTCGATCAGCGACACGCCGAGCAGCGCCTGGAACTGCGCCGTGATGGTCTTCAAGAAGGCGGCGTCGGGGTCGGACTCGAGCTCGGCGAACTCCGGCGTGCCCGGCTCCGGCATGAAGCGGCGGCTGACGGTGGGGCGGTTGGGGAGGAACCCGGCGTAGGGGTACTGCCCGAAGTTGACGGCGGCGTGGAGGGCGGAGGCGACCCAGATGATGGTGGTGGCGGAGTTTACGAGGTCGGCGATGGTGCTCATCTGGGGCCACCAGGGTTCGTCCTTCTTGTCGCCGTGGCCGACCTTGCGGATCTCGGTCCACCAGAACTGGAGCTCCGGGTCGGCGGCGACGGCGGAGTCCGAGGGATAGTAAAGGCTGATGTAGTCGGTTACCCATGTTTTGATGGCGGACCAGATTTCGAGGCCGTCGACGGCGTAGGGGTAGTCGGGGATTAGGAGTTTCAGGCCGTGGGGGCTGCCGGGGTCAGGGATCGCCACTCCTCTGTAAATGAAGTTAAGTGAGATGATAAGCAGGAAATTTTCTAAAAAATAACAATAACAGTAATATTGGATAATTATAATCAGCTTGAGTTCCAAATTATATATATATATCTATATACACACACATATACATATATACACACACACACACTTCTAAAGTGGGAGATGAGACTTCCAAGTGGAATGCAAAAGACTCGTCAAAAGTCTGCAAAGGTGTTAGTATCACTGTTTTAGAGAACTAAATACGGGTATAAAAATTGAATCATGAATAAGAGAACAAAAATCATGTAGCGATCATCATTTACTGTTTTGCCACAATCAGTATTAGTACTATTAATATGTAATGTATACCCCTAAAATACAAATTACATAATCATGTAATTTACATTTACTATTGTATGTATGAAAAATACTTTAAAGGACATCATTAGTGTTAAGTAATACCACTAATAAAACATGAAATGTGAACCTATTTTGCAGAATTGCCACCTCACCACAGTGCCTGTCATTCCTACTAATCAATGATGAACATTATTTGATATGGTAGGTTTGTAGCATTCTTGCGTAAGTAATATGCATATATTACCACAAACAAAAGTGCATTACTATTTATGTGACAGAAGATTAATGAGTATTATATGTACTGAAATTACTTAGTTGATTGATTAATTTAAAATAAAGGATATAGGAAAATTCACCAAATTCGCTACTAAATTGGAGCGACATTTATATATTTTTTCTTTAAAATATATATATTTTTTAAAAATGTGTATATTTTATTTTAAAATATGTATATATTATATATTTTATTATAAAAAGAAATGTACATATTAAAAGAAATGTACACATTTTAAAAAAAATGTGCAAGCACCGCTACCGGACTGAAGACAATTCCAAGGATATATTTTTCCTTCATTTTCCCAAGCAAATAATTTTTTTTTTTTTTAAAAGATGGAAGCAATTGGATGTGAATGACTCACCTGTTGAGGAGGTCAGTAGGCAGTGCGTGGTCTGTGAACACCCAGTTCTTGTAGAGCACAGCAGACATTTCCATGGCGTATGTCGCCGGGAAGACCGTCCTCTCAAGGACACCGCCGGCATTGATGAGTATTTGCCTAGCCAACGCATTTATGTTCATCGTGTCACGGAAATGAGGGTCTAGAAGCTTGTATATTGGGTGAACAACACTCAACTGTCTATTTGTTGCAATAATAAACGGTTCTATCACAGCATGCGTGTTCAACCTGCAAGTAGAAAACAGCACATTATATAAAGTATATACTTATATTTGATATAATTATGATGTGATCTGACGATTGACGATTCATGTTTAAGTTGTGTAGATCAAATACCAGTGGCTAATGAGCTGATGATAGCCAGAGTCGTTCACGGCAGCATAAGCTTTGGCCAGTTGCCAAATCGTACCCTCCACGCCCTCTTCCGCCGGAGTGAAAACTTTGCTGACAGCACCGTGACTGTCGCCTTGTGGATGTGGTAAGCTCAGCTCAATGGCCAGTGGCTTCAGCGTCCCGTCATCTTGGAGCAGAAGGAGAGTCCTCGTCGCGTAAGTCTTTGTGGTGGTCGAGTTTATTCGTTTCAGGCATGGCATCAGCGCGTCGTGGTGATCCAGAATGAACAACTTGTTCTCTTCAATTGCCTGTCAAAAAAAATGTTAGAAAATTTTGTTCTCGAGATTTGCAACAAGAGATTTTTTTGTTTTTGTTTTGAGACACATTAGGGAAGAATTATGATTAGTACTTGGTCAACAGTCAGGCCGTTCATGTACTTCTCTATTTGCTCTTTTGTTATTGAGCTGTTTTGCTTTCCATATACTTCAGGGTCTAGCTTGCTGACTGGGGGAAACTCCTGTATTTTTTTTTTTTAAGCCAATGTTAGTATAAAAAAATACCATTATAACAAAATTCACCAAACTAATTCAGCTAGCAAAATTTGTTTTCTTTTTTTACTTGGAGGCGGCGGATTATGACGGGGTTCACTCCAGCAAGCATTTCGCGTCCAAACTCCTCATCTGTCCTCCAAGCAGATTTGTCCTCTGAAATGATCAATCAAGAACACTTCACAATTTATACCAATTTCAACTATCTACGAACTAGTTGTCACCTTTTTTCACTAGAATGAACTATGAATACCTTTGATCACAGCAGGAATCGGGAACTTAAGAAATCGCTCCCCATCCGAACGGGCAAGTTCTCTAAGTAGCTCCCACGGGATGCGTTCTCTAATCTTACCTAGTGTATGCCCGTTTGGTAGCTTTAGCCCACCTTCATAGAGCCTAAGAACATCCTCAAATTTGTCAAACTCATTGATGGTTTTGTCACATAAAGATTTTAGCTCCGGAAGCAAGACTTGGACAAGGGATTTCAGTGCATAGGCCAGAAAATCTGAAAACTTCACGTGTCCAAACCGTTCATCTCTAGGGACATAGATGTCTAGGTTCAAAAGTGGCAGTCTTTTCTCACTGTTGGGATCTGTTACACTCAACAAAATCAAATTATTGATTCAAAATGCTTAAAACCTCTCACGTGGTTTCAGATTTTCCTTACCAGTTTTAGTCGGTTTTCGACCGGTTCTTCCCCTTCGAGGATAAGGATACTCTTGTGTTCCACCAAGAACAGGGCGTGCATAGTCTGGACCCTTGTCAGGGCTTCCCAAATCATTGTAGTAAGCATAGTCATAAACTCTGTCCCATTCCTTGAGCTCACCGGTACCGTTTCCTCTCAGATTCTTCAGTTCTTCCTCTCGGTAGTAGCGTAAAAGATCGGGTGTTTGACATGGCAAGTAGGTCTGATACAAAAATCGTGGACTCTTCTGTTAGTCCAAAACATGTTTCTTAACCATAATGTAATTCTATTTTGAAAACTGTTGGTTTCTTGGGGATGAAGCAAAACTCAGTCACAGATCATAACATTAGTCATTGTCAATTGTAATTTTTGTTGACAATAATTGAGGCGGTTCCTTGTAAGGAAGTCTAGATGGGATATGGGTTTTGCTTCCAATAATTGTAGATTAAAAGTAAAAAATAAAAAGCAAAAATAAATCAAGACTGAGTAAATTCATCTAGACAATTTGAAAAATATGAGATTTACACAAGAATAAGGTCAAAATTAGTACAGATGTAACCTTTCTTTAACGTCTAAAGAAAACAATCAACTTACCTTGCTTGAGAAGAAAACGCGATTGTACTTGTAACGGTGTGTGGGGTAAACCCAGGAATTGCACACAAAATGTACCCTGCCATGTCCTGGAACATCTTCCAAAGTTACTGTCTTGAGGAAGAACTGGCTATGATGATGGTTTTTTATGATGAAAGCCCCTGGAAGGCCCATGGTTTCGCCCCATTCGAATGTAACGGTGAATTGAGTTTCTCTTGCCGCCGTCGGAGAGATCGTTGAGATCCATTTCTCCAAGTATGCTACCTTCCCAAGCTTTCCTCTAAAACCATTCTCTAAACATAACATAATACAAGGAATCTCAGTTTTTGCTTCATCATTAAGCTTATTAGAAACCGGGAAAAAAAATGCTTAGAAACATGTTAAGAATTTACTGTTTTTTTTTTTTAACCTACTCAAATATTGTCTCAACTTTATAATCGGATAATTCCCCCAAATTCAACATCTTCTTCAAATTAAAAGACATTTTGAAAGAGGAAAAAAAATAAAAACAACTGATATAAAACTTAAAAGAGTCGTTAAAAAAAAAAAAAAAGGGAAACTTCCATAATAGTTCTCTTTCATTATAATATATGAACAAAGTTTTTGATGTATGAGAAATTGGTCAAAGGGTGAATGTTAAAAGTTCTCATTCAAGGACACAACTCAAATATTGTAAAGAGAGAGAGAGAGAGAGAGAGAGAGAAGATGACCTGGATCAGGTAGAACAGAGCTGATAATCTGCATGGAAACAACTTTGCCGAAGAGCTCATGGATTCTATCAAGCAAAGAAGCCTTAATATCATTAAAATCCAAAACATTCTTCTTCATCAACACAACCGTTCCTTTGATCTTCTTGGTCTCAACAGCAACCTTTTTTTGACTAATAATCGTACTCTCTTTGCTCTTCATACAAAACACTTCCATCGCTTTGTGGCTTGTTCCTAAACTTGAACAAAACCCCATTATAGCTTTAATCTCAATGAACCAGAAAGAAAGAAAGAAAGAGAAGAATAGAAAAGAAAAGAAAAGAAAAGAAAGACTCAAAAAGATTGATTCTCAAGATGTTTAAGGTGTTTTCAATGTGTATGGTAATGTTACAACCTATATATAAGCAAAATTCTTAAAAAGTTTTTCCATAGGAAACTTCTATCCGTTTACTAACTTTTTTTTTTTTTTGGTTTTTCTAAAGACTAGAGATAATTTTCTTTTTCAAACATTTATTGACTTGGAAATATCCTATGGGTTTCTTTCCAACATCATATGCCAAAGCCTCCATTGACGAGGCATCTCTTTGAATATTGATTATGACAAGTAACAGTGGCATTTTGAGGCCTTGGAATTTTGGGTCTTTATATATCTTTTTAAAGTGAATGAACAAAGGACCTGATTCTACCTTGCCATGTCCATTTCCCATTCTAGTCAATAAAATCATGATAAAACAAATACTAAGTTCACCAATCCTAAAATCTTTTTGTTATACATGTATTTATGTATTCTCACATCATATATATTCCTTGTAGTGTTTTTTATGAATATATTCCTCCTAGTTGTAAGTACGTACGAACATATATACGGAGCCACTGGGGGCACGTGCCCCCACTGAAAATTTAAAGGGCTGTTCACTTCGTTGATTCGAATTTATAATTCGAGTTGAGATGTGATTTTGTGTGAGAACTTTTTACTGTAGCAAAAAAGTTAGATGTGACTGTTTCTGAGAGTTTTTTACTGTAGCAAAACTCAAATTATAAACTCGAATCGACGAAATGAACGGGACATAAATTATTCAACTGATACCTTCTATATTGTCTTTTAAACCCCTAATTTCTCACGCAGCTAAGTAATACTGTCTTTTATATAGCTTTGGGTTTGATTTAACTCACTTTTTAAATTATCATATGGACCCACCCTTTTTCAAGTCCAATGCATGTTCAAATTTTTTTATTTTCAACTATTTCTATTTTTTGTTATTTTTTTTAATTTTATTTTGGCTTGTCCTCTCTCTCGTCTTTAACTTGTTATCTTTTTTTTTTTCGGTAGATTAAGTTGCTACCATCTTGCTCTGTGATCTCCTTTATTTTAGAATTTTATCAACTTCTATAACATTAAGGTATGTAAAAAGATCCATTAAGTTTCATTTTTATATTTATAAAAATGTTGAAACATGCATAATATTATAATAGGTTATAAGCAGATAGTTTTTTTATATTACGTTATATTAGCTTATAGTTTGGGGTGTGACTTGAGTGTAATTTTTTAGTTGAATTTGAATTATAACTTAAGATGAAATTGTAATTTGAGTTTTGTTTGGTTGTTTACATTTGAGTTATGATTTAAAATGAGAATCTTTTTGAGTTTGTGTTTTAGTGTATAATAACTTGAGTTGTGAATAGTGGGGAAAGAAAATGGCATATATTTCTCATTTGAATTTATTTAATTTAAAAAAATTAAAAAAAATGGCATAACTTGAGTGGTTCAACACAACAAGAATTTATTTGATTTGCTCTTCAACATAAAATAAACAACTCTCTCTCCTCTCTTCTTGACATTCTCTCCTCTTCGCTCTCCGGCCGAGCTTCTTACTGTCATCGATCTCGTTGCCATTGCCGTCGATTTGTTGCTTGGCCGGCCTTCTTCTCCGGCAACGATTCGCAGATCAGCTGTCCTCAGTCGAGATCGATGTCTCCAGGTCATCGAATGTCTTCGGCTCTCCCTCCTCTCTCATTGCCGTCGTGGCCGAGCTTCTTGTTGTCATCGATCTCGTTGCCATTATCGCCGATCTATTGCTAATCCGTCAGCGATCTTCTTCTCCTGTTCTCCATCTTCTTTCGTCGCCGATTTGTTGGAAGATGGAAATGGTCAAATGGCAAGATGGCAGGTATGTACACGTGAGAATATGCACGGTAGAAGTCGAGAGTTACACTCAAATTCAAGGGGAAGGTTGAACTCGAGAAAGGAGGCGAGAATGGGTTGGTGACTCGAATTAATTTTCGAGTTGGGTTCGGCCGAACAATAAAGGGTTGTTCTTTTACATTTTTGAGTTAGGGTGACTTGAGTGATGATCTTGAGTTGAGTTTGAGTTATAACTTAAGTTGAAGTTGTAACTTGAGTTTGTGTTTGGATGTGCACGCTTGAGTTATAAGAATCTATTTCAGTTTGTGTTTTGGTGTATCAAAACTTAAATTTGTATTTATATAGTATTTTAATAAAAACTCAATGGTAATGAAAAATTTTAATAGGGTATATGGGTGTGATTTTATTTGTCTTTTTGTTGTGAATGTATAGAAAAAAAAAATCATCTTAATCAGAATTAAAACGAAAAAGTTATGGAATTTTTAAGAATAGAAAAAATAATGTTCATTAACTTGAGTTTGAGTTTATGAACTCGAGTTGAAGGGGAAACTTGAACTCGAGTTTAACCTCGAACTTAAATTCAAACTCAAATTTTATAAAAAAAAAATATGAACTTGAATAAAATTATAACACAAATTTAAATTTTTTCTGAATTTCGTTGTAAAATAACACTAGTTCCATCACTGTATACATACATATGTATGGGTCTGTTTAGTTCGTTGATTCGAGTTTTTAATTCGAGTTAAGATGTGATTTTATGTGAAAGCTTTTTACTGTAACAAAAAAATTAAATGTGATTATTTATGAAAATTTTTTACTGTAACAGAACTCAAATTTTAAACTCGAATTAACAAAATGAATGGACTCTGTATATGTTTAAGCATGCATGTAGTTTTTAGTTTGTGAGATCAGCCAAGATTCTTTCTTGACAGCTCGGTTCAATGACACTTAAAAGTATTAAAATATGTACGGCTACGCTGTTGCATGGCCCTTATTTTTTATTTATTTTATTTTATTATTTCCTTCTTTTTCTAAGTGGTGGTCATGGACAACCAGATGGGGGGCATGGTATAATAATCTTATTGAGTTTAAGTGTGCTACTTTTGGCCTTATTTAATAATAATAATTAGTATTGTAGATCATAGTGGATGATTAAATAGTATTTGTTTTACACGGGAAAGATGTATTTCCAATCGCAAAAGGCCAAATTAACTTAGAGTATTCAATTATAGAAAAAACGGAGAATTTGTCAAGATTACGGCCCCATTCATTTTACCGATTCGAGTTTTGTTACAGTAAAAAATTTTCAGAATAACAGCCATATTTAATTTTTTTACTATAATAAAAAATTATCACATAAAATCATATCTCAACTCGAATTACCGAACTAAACACGTCCTACATTTCATTATATGTCGTATTGGAATTACACCTGTTTCGGATTCTCTTTGTACCCTTTCTTTTTCTTTTTCTTTTTTTTTTTATTGATGGAAAGAATTCTTTCCTTTTATCTTTATGTGAAATCCGAATTATAGAAACCAAGTCAGCTAATATTTGTCGAACATAAAAATAAAAAGAAATGTACCACATGTAAAAAGTGTGAATGTAATGAATTCAATGTTTAAGGTTATTTTAAGTCATATAGTAATAAATTAAGGAAAGAAACGTCTTTTAGGGGGCAAACAAACAATCGTTTTAGTCCATCTGCCTTACGAATTGTCATTGAACAAATTTCAACTAAAGGTACGTAAGTGGAATCTTTTAGTATTCTTCTCTTTGTTTTCTTTGAAAGCTATAGATACGATCTTATTTCTTATATATATATATATATATGTATGTATATTTTTTTGAAAAGAAAACATTTCATTACAAACCAAACAATTACACAAGACACGAGTTTTTCCAATTACGATCTTATTTAATTTCTTTTTTTTATGATGACATTGTTTTGTTGTTATTTTCATTTATTCTTCATAAAATGTATAATATGGTTTCGGTTTACCATTTAGTACTACAATTTTTTAAGTTAAGAAATTGCGTTAGATAATATAAAGATATAAATAAAATATAAATAAAAAAAAATCTCGATTGATAGCATATATCTAGGTGTTTATATTTTTGCTTAAGGTCCCAAATTTATTTGAAAGTCCGTAATTAATGCATTTTGAAATATGTAATATCAATAGACATACTATACATAAATATCCTCAAAGGTATTATAATTTAATATGAAATCATAGTTGTCATGTACATATCAGAACAAAGACAGCAAGAAAGAGGGAAGTACATACATGAGTAGAACATGCAAATTAGACACAAGCACTAACACTATCGCCTTATTCTTTTCATAACTCAAATCATCTCTCAAAGTCTTTTATTACAGTATTTTCTCTCACATAAAAAAGTTTGAATAATGACTTGAGCTTTTTCTCACATAAAAAAAAATTGAGTTATAATTTGAGTTGTGAAAAGAAAAATTCAATTAGACCAAGCAATATATAATAACCACAAATGGAGCAATAGTGGAGATTTTGTTGCATATTCTAAAAGTGCTGAATTGAACAAAATATATGAAGGAAAAAGAAAATGGGCACTTATATTTTGGTGGTGATCTTTAACTTTTAAAACTCCAGATTTTCATATCTGCCCTTTTAGAGCTCCAATTAATGGCATAGCACTTCTTAATACATAGTGGCCAACGAAGGTTAATACCGTAATCTTTGAAGAGGGTATGTAATTAAGTGGAAGTTTGGTTCACGGATTCAAAATCATTCTTGGTTTATGTGTATTTTTTGTGAGAGAAAACACTGTAGCGAGTCACGAATCATGATTCAAACCATGACACGAATCCTCATATCAAACACCCTCTAAGTGTCTATGCTAAGAAGAACTAAAATGTTTATTTTTTTCTAATTATATAAAAAAAAGTGTGAAGAGAATCAGAGATAATGGGGAAAAGAAATACAAAGCTATATTTCAAGTTTTAATGACCCAAAATAATAATATATGGTTTCTGTTAGTATAATTTTCCCTTTTTGGTTGGAAGAGTAACATTTGTGGATAACCCCAGAAAAGCGAGATATTGCAAAGCAGTAAATTTGATATTTTTATGCAATTCGATCATAAATAGAAGCAGTAATTTTGGGCCCCTTTGTCACCATCAGAAAATGTTTAATTGTTTGTTTCTTTTG